ATACTGAAAAACGACAAATTGCATCGAAAACAGGAAGTCCGTGTTAGTATCATTCATAGCTGACTTTAGCCGCTAAAGCTTGTTGTCAATGAATTCCTGTTTAGAATGGACTCTGTCAGTCCATTGAAAATCGGATTTGTAAAATAGATCGGTTCAGAGTCGACGACGTAGCCCAGGTGCAAGGCATGCCGGCTGTGCGATGTATTATATGCTTTACTAACACCCCGACTCATTTTCTGCATCGTTGATTTAACTTGGTCATATTAACATCCCTTAAATAGATATAATCTTACCCCTCATCAAGTAGGACATATTTCAACAAAAATGTTCACTTTTTCACACCTATTAATTAACGTCTATTTATTACCTATAATTCTTATTAATTATTATAACTGCATACTTTTTTCAATGAGATGATGCTTTCTAGAATTTGAAATAGGCACATAAAAAGATAGCACTTTTTATTGGCTGTTAGAAAACTTTTGCTTACTTGTAATGGATAATATGAAAATACGCACATATCAGACAGTGTTTTATTACTCTTCGGGCCAGTCTACCGAATCCGAATTACTGCAATTGTTGCACCTCTTCTCAATTGCTCTGCACGTAATAAAACAATACAACAGATTTGCATACAATGTATACACCAATCGAAATAACTACCTAGCTTTCACCTTATACCCAACATCGAAAGGCTTGCCTTGCCAAAAGCCCTATAAGCCAAAGGAAGATTTTACAGGAGTGTCAGTTCCAAGGAGAAATGTGTGCATCTACTTCGCAATACTTCCTATTTTGACAGTAATTCGGATAATAATAATTATTATTCTGTTCAGGGTGCCTTTGGACTTCAATAATATCATATTATTCTTTTGATTCGTAACTGATGTTATATCGTTGGCACTATGTAAGAAAATTTGAAGACAGAAGGAAGAGGGGTATAATGACCAACGATTCCTTTCGAAAGAGATACCTACATTTCATTTAGATAAATCGGTGTGGAAAGTTAAAGTGTATATATTTATGGACATATACCGTCGCACACGTACTTTTTGCTTTCTCGAAAGCTTTAGTGCGTTAGAAAACACTTATTATTGTTACAGATTAGTATAATAAGCGCATGTCAAAGAATTATTCAAATGACGTTGGCAGTATCACATTGTATGTAGTGTAGCGATCCTTCTAGAACATTTTGGGGCCATCAAATCGACAAAGGAGTAGTCATCCCCGATAAGGAGTAAAAGCGGTAATTACTCAGTCTTGATGTGAAATATGTTCTTATAAATGTGTCTGCAATGGAGTAATATATGTGGAATTTAGCTTGTCGTTAGTAGTCTTATATAATTAATTTTATTATAATAAATCATATCATTAAATTTACGCTACTTGTTGCTGTTTAGCAGGACTTGAAGACGAAATAGTGTTGAAAACGAACTTTAACACTTGCAACACGCTCGTTCTGTAATATACTATTCAACACTGGCGATGAGTTTCTCTTTATTAGTAACACCAATTCGTTAAAAGTGATGGTGTTACGAAAACATAGGTGAATGATATGGGATATGAGTGCCAAAGTGAAATCGGCCAACAACATAAATAAAGTGCATTGACAAACTGTTATCAGTGGGAGTGGAGGGCGAGTTTTTAATTAGATGACTCGTGGAGAGAATTCTGAAGAATCAGCTTTATTTTCGCAATGAGGACGTACTTACACATTATTAACAGCAACAAAAAGCTAAGGCGATGCAACGACCAAAAAAATATTTTGAAATGAAAAAAAATTCTTGTACCCAGTTTAATGACTTTTTGGCTATCACAATAGCAACTTCAGTTCCCTCCGAGCGATTGTTTTCGAGAGCTGGGTTGGTGCTACGGAAGCAAAGAAACAGACTCAGCGAAGGTTGGGGAAAATTTTCCTCTTTGAAAGTACTCGATGCCTGTACTAGTGCACTTAATAAAATATTTTTATTTTTTAAAAAGTTTTTTGTTTATTTTTACACATAGGTACCTATATACAGACTCATTATTAAAAATGGAACGAAAGCTTAAACGTTGTGAGATATAGGCATGAAAATCAGAACCCTTCCATTTGAAATTATTTCCCATATTTTGGGATTAAAAATTTTATTGTACATAATCTTTGAGTGCGACCGCCATCTTGCATTTAACATCATCATGATGAAGATAGTAAGAAAGAGAAAAAAGTAAGCTTCCTAATGACGCATCACTTGACCTATGTTGCTGTTTAAAAAAATTCAAAATGGCGGTAGCAATTAAACACGCGTCCAAAAAAGGAACTGTTTCAACCTCAAAATATGTAAGCAATTTCAAAGAAAAAATTTTCATGTCTATGTCTCGAGTGGTTTGTGCGTGATAGCTTTGGTTCCATGTTTAATAGCCATCCTGCATAATGTTTTGTTTATATTTAGTCAACTTATTAAAATTACTTGATGATTCAACCTTCAATTGTAAATTCCAATCCGAGCTGAACTGATTTTTTCGAGCCGAGCCGAGTTTCCAAAAAGCTCGGCTTGGCTCGGCTCAGTTCGATTCCATCCCCACACGTAAGTTTACCCAAAAAATAAACACTAAAGGGGACCACTAAACTGTGCACTATTTTTTGGCCCATAATGTATAAATGGTAAGTATAATCATTGACTAAACTTTTGGGTTTTTTTAATTATTTTTAAATTTCCAAAAATTTCAACCTGCTACGAGATGGAGTGCTGATTTTGACGGAATTTAAGATCTAGGCAGTAAAATGGGAAATCAAAAATTTAAGAAAAATTGATGCTAGGTATTAGTGTGAAGTGTGAAACCTAAAAATGTTTCTCATTTAACTCAAAGTGATTTTAAAGGCAACGAATTCCATTTCTAAGAGGAGAAATATAAACAAATTATTTACGTCCATTATAAGAAAGTGAACCTAACATTCTTACCTTAATCAGTGTCGGGACCGATGCTAAAACCATAACTTTTCTTGGAAAATTTTATGTAAAAACTCGTCGATGGTTTTGTTTTCATCCTTTTTATTGTGCATAGTTCGTCTAAGAATTGGAGCAACTTTGTTTTGTGCTATTGAATAGTAATTTATAATTCCCATTACCAAATTTCGTCTTGATCAGACAACGTTAACTTATAGATTTGGTTATATCATTACTTAATTGAAATGTCCCCTAATAAAATTAAGTGAAGTCGCAAAATAACAAGAGAGCAATTAAAGGATGCCTTTCGTTTGGCCGTAACACACTATTACATGAACATTATATAAACGGTTGTGTTAAAAGTTCATTAACTTAATAGTCAGAGAATGGCATCTACTAACTTGTTTATATAAAGAGATGTAATAGATATAATGAAGTTTCATTATGATAACTTATCTGCATTTACGCCGGCATAAATCACGAATATAATTAAATCGTTGGTCGCCAGGGTGGAGATGCGTGCACCGTTCTCATGTGCCCTTATTATATGATCCCTATGAGGGCTGAGCCCCTCACAACGGCCAATTATATTAAACTGTGAATACAAATTGACTCTTTTGAAAAGTTAAACGGTTGGGCCTAAAGTTATTATTGTGCGCTAAAAGGTAGAATGGCTTTTATTTGTAACTATACAGAATTCTGTTACCGTAACTATTTTCCGATCTTATATATTACTATTTATTATCGCTTAATAACATGTACATTATTCTCATCTTCATGTCAACATCTTGATGTATATTTCTTTTGCACTTGTATTGCATTAATTGACTTTTTCTTTCTCAGAAGCTACTCCAGGAAGTTGGAGTGAACAAACACTTTGGGCCTAGTTGATTCACCACTCTTGTCTGGTCTGGAAATTTTGGAAAAAAACATAATAGACGGGGGAAAAATGACCAGCCGGGTGCAGCTTTTTGTGGTTGCAAATCAAGAGAACTGTAAAAGAAGACAACTATATAGAGATACCCACATGTCAGTGGATAATATTTCCTAATTCGTTTAGAAAATCCCAAAAATATTTGCACAACTCAAGAAGCAAAGAAAATGCGGCCCTTATACCACCTCAGTAAATTTATGAACGCGTTGTAAATGGATAAATCTAAACGCAATAATTGTACTTTGGGAGATCAATGAACACCAAACTTCGCGCGTTTCTGGACCTATCTAAGTAGATACTGCGTTCCATAAATTTAAATACGCATTTCACTACGTCCTATAGGAAAATCTATATTTATAATAGCAAAATAAAAAGCTGTAAATAGGAGGTTATAAAGTTATAAAGGGAAGTAATGAGATAAATTTTAGGGTTGTATAAGTAAGCGCTGTAAACTTCTTATTTGTGCAAATTAAGTTTTCATTGATTAAGCAATTTACGGGAAAGCAAATTAATTAAATACATATTACACGTAATTTTATTAGTAGAATGATTAAACGAAAAAAGAACCGAAGAACTAAAAAGCTACAGTTTTAGGTCAGAAACAAGTAACCATGTTTTCGTAGAAATCTAATAAAACTTGTTAGAATCTTTGAAAAATGATAAAATGAAGTAAGTTAAGAGCCCGTATATATGTAGTTAATGTATATGGTAGCATCCCCTTGCGGGGCAGCGGGAGTCGTAAGCGATGGCGACGTCGTCAAGGCAACGTCCTGGCGCCTGAGCACCTCGTCCCCGCTCCTCTTTTCAGATAAATCAAGGCGCATATCTTACACGAAAAAGTTGGATTTACATGTGTACACAACAGCACAGGGTTGTATTCAGAAATTTGACAAATACTTTCGAAAACTTTATTCATAAATTATCAATCTCTCTGTTATAGAGCTTTTCCCCTATTTATTATTTGCGAGTCGTCGGCGAAATAAACGCCGGGATTGAAATTTAAAAGATTTTATTCTATTGCAACTCTACTTCTACTACTAGTAGTATGACTGTATGAGTAACTACCTCAAAACAAATTGGCGGTTGCACTCTCATCGGAGCTTTTTCCCCCCATTTAATATCAGGTATCAAAAATAAAAGACAAATTCCTCTTAGAACATTTTTATTTTTAGATATTACAAATACATTTTTGGGTGTGTGGTTTTTGTCAGTAATATACATAAGTTAGATGCAAAATGCCGAGACTACAATAGATTGCACGAGTGTTTCTTTACATACGCATCTAAACGACGCAACCCTGAACGGCTTATGAGCTGCAAAATGAACAATACGCTGGGGACAACTGTATTTGTTATACCCTAATAATGAAGCAGCTGCGAGAAACCGAACTTAAACATAATTATAATAATGGCATTCATTTTGTTCACATAAATTTGGTAAAAATAATTTTTCACAGATTAAATAAATATTAACAAAAATATACAAATGCAATCAGTTAGTCCATTCAAGCAAAGGCTGTCGTAAAACTCATCAAAATGAATTAACAGACGAACGGGAATTATAAATATAAAATGAGGGTGCGAAATATCAAACCAATTTCGGAAACCTACTCTATTAATCATAAAATATGTCCACGATATAAAAATACCTATTATTGCTTTGCATCATCATTAGTTGCTTTTTTTCCAAATCAGCCAAGAATATACAGCTTTTGGGATACGACTAGAAAGCTTTTTCGAATTGGTTACGATCGTTATTGGCCACAATGCAAATTTAATATGTTATTTCCGTGGTGGCGTATTTGTGGTTATTTTATTTACTTTCGACCCATTTCATTGCACAGTTCACACTCAGATACTTTGTATGAGTGATCTGAATCCAATTTTGATCACTAAATCAGCAAATATTGTACTGCAACTGCAACCCCCTGTCATCATTTAATATGATTCATATACGAAGAACATTAAAAACCACAGACGGCGAACAAATGCAGTGCGATCATCAGCAAGCAGCAAAATATGTAGAATTGATGCCTCCTAATGAAACGCCTGCTGTAGTTATTATTAGTTTTATTTGCCAGTGTAGCACGTGTGAAAGTCTATACGAAAAACGATTGCACCAGTACTTCAGGATGGCAGTGTGGTACATTTGTAGTCAAATATAACCAATACGGAAACGTTCGAATGCCTTCTCCTTGGTTAACAGTGGAGACATTTTCTTCGTCGACTTCTTCATTTGTGATCAGCGGTATTTGTTTATAATTTACCAGGGAAGCCTAAACACTTACCTGCAATGGACATTTATCTCACTTGGTTAACGGAATTATAAACAAATATCGCCTAAAAATGTCAAAGCAACCAATGACTCTGATTCTGTAACTGTGCTACTATGGTAAATTGCGATGCTTTAATTTCGGTGATGCTGGGTTACACTACAAATATAAAATGATTTGATGCCTTATTGGTTCTCAAATAATGTATTGGGGCCAAAAACTAAACGCACAAATTGAATTACTTTTGCTCAAAATATTCTTCTTATAGAAAGCTGTTTTAGGCCAATGGATAAAAATGACAAATGATGGCTACTAATCCAGACTTCGTGGTGAAATTAACGATAACAGTTACCTAAACGATATCTACCCAAACATTAACTCTATACAGATACTAATGGGAAGGAAAACGTTTTGTCTGTTTTTTCATTTCAATAGTGCGAAATTAGATAGACTTACGTAACCTGTTTTTCACTAAGCCTTTTTAAAAGTTGTATATAAATCATGTGATCATATTCACATTGAAGCTTTGATGACTGGACTAAAAATTTATATATGCGTATACATATATCTTTTATGTAGTTATATAACATTTTTACAAGTTGGACTGCAACAATGTCCTGTTTGCGCTAAAATTGTAGTCCGCACAAACACCGAGATCACTAAACCGTATGTACAAAGTTTATATTAATAAGAATATGTACAAAGTCACACACTCACTGAATATTTTGTCTTTTGGCCGAATGTTCCTCGTCGGTATCAGAAATGACGTCACTATTTTCGTCGGTTTGATTATCAAGTACCTCTTGTTTTCTTTTTGCCGTTGCCATTTCTGCCGCGTGTTTTTTCCTCCACTTCGTTCGTCTGTTTTGGAACCAAACCTGAAAGGATATAAGAATGAAAATTAGTTCAATTCGTATAACCATAATATAACAGTATAACTAATTGCTGCAATACTTTGTTTATATTATGTCAAGTGTGAAAATTAAATCCTAAATACACGGTTGTGGTGTAATCATCGAAGTCATGGCAGTGAATTTTGGAATAAAACAATGTCACACTTCTACTAGCAATTGCAAAGGTCTAGCGATAATTGCGGTTTGGTCTTCATCAAAATAATGAAACTATACCTACAGAGAAGTTTAAATTAAGGAATAAACGGAAGAAAGGATCATACTAATACCTCATCAAGCCAAACCATGTCCATATTTTAATGGAATAATTAAGAGACAAAAGTTGTGTATGCTCTCAAATACACACTCAATTCCAAGAAAAGTTGTTTCATGGCCCTGATAAAATAATTTCACAAAAAGATTTCACAGGTTGAAGATCATCTATCTATCTATTCAGCTCATCAAACTGATGACGCTATGAACACCACAAGCCATATAGTTATTTCTCTGGTAACTTTTCTGAACTCCTATAATAGCCAAAAGGATCGATAGGCTCCGCTTTCGCGGTCCCTAGCTTACTGTTCATCGAAATTCGATTCGGCCATCCGTCTGAAGACTTGAGATATCAACAATCGGACTGTTCATTAATTAGGTTTCAACACCTATACGTACAGGGTAGGTGAATTCTTGGTATTCACACACCTTTCACGAAGCTTTTCAGTTACCCCAGAGATTAGCAGAGGTGGATAAAGTACATATGGAAATTTAAAATTTGGAATACAAATCTTTTTGTGATTTAGTTATTTGCAATAAAATCTACAGTCGTTTTAATTAACAGTTTTATTAATGTGTAATTTCCTATGCTTCCGGAAGCTTTTATGTACTCTCTAGAGATGGAAAGAATTGCCAATAAAGCTTAGGGTGGGTTCCTAAAAAGTTCTTGTAAAGATCTAAGCAGCCCTGGGAGAACCTTGGAAGGGAATTGTAAAGCTATCGTAAATGCCCTGACGACTTTTATAGCTGTCGATTGCACTTCTACAAAAAACTTAGAAAATCCGGGATAGAACTATTAAGAATCGATAATACTGATTAATCAATTAATCAAATGATCGATTAATCAAATAATAGTAGGGGACCCCATAGAGGATTTTGGGATTTACTCGAGCGCGTCAGATTAAAATAAGGTGGGTTGAATACGTGTCGAAAAGTGTACATTTCAATGATCTGACAGTTTGACCGTGACGTGAGGGAGTGGGAAAAAACGTTACCTTGAAAATCTCAAGCGCGTTGAAATTTTTTTACTTGGAAGGAAAAAATTCAAGAGTAACGGAAGTAATACAATCTACAATATAAATTACACGTACCTACAGCGCCCTAAATATCTGAATAAATCCTGTTTTCTACCCTTCCGTGCAGCCTTCCCCACCATGCAAACAGGCAGATTAACATACCTCCAATATCAGAAACACGTTGGGCATATACTTATTACACTATCAGTATCTGACGCGCTCGAGTATTTTCATGTAACAATTTTTTTTAGATTATTAAAGAAGTTTAGACCCCCCCCCCCCCCCCCCAGCCGGTGGAGGGATGTAACTTTTTTTCCTTCTACCATATCTAATCTACAAAGTTCAAGTCCCTACGACGCTCGAATAAATCCCCATTTAGCACTGTCGATCATCGATTATTTCTTGTATTGATTATAAATAATCGGTTAATCAAATAATAGATCACTCAAATAATCAATTAATCGACTAATTTAAAAGAATAATCAAAGTCGATTACCGATTATCGTTTGATTATAATAATCTTGCCAACGCTAGTCCTGGAAAAGTCAAGAAAACTCTGAAGTTTGGGAAAGATTACAGGGCGTAAAGGATCGAAAAAATTCTAGTAGGTATGCGCTTCTAAAACTCTGAGGCCCAAAAAGCTTTAAAAAGGCGGTAAATTCTAGTCCTTTTTAAATGTTATTTCAAAGCCTTCTAGAATCACATAAAAAGTTTCTAAAATCTTCTAGTGCTTTATAGTCCATTTGATTGTCCATTGAAAACCCTGCAAATCACCCAAAGATATTTAGACATTTTTGGAAAGACCCTAGGTAGGTATATCAAACCTGCAATTTAAATAGAAAGCTCTTATGTGGCTTTCATTAGAATTCCACATGCCTCCTCAGAAAAGTCCTAAGTAAGGACATTTCCTTCTAGTTCTTTCATATTATTCCAAGGCTTTCTAAAGTCACCTACATAGTTTTTCAGAATTTATCACACATCCCTTGAAAACCCTACAAATCCCCTAAACATATGATCAACGATTTACATAGAAAACTCTTATAATAACAATAATAATTTATTGTCCAAACAGAATAGTTCCATAAACTAGGACAATATTGGGTAAATATATACATATAGTGCGTATAAAAACCGAAAAAAATCATTAAGCATGAAATAAGTGAAGAAAAATTAACAATTATTATTTTAGTTAATGGAATCTAATAATTCTTATACGACTTTCTTGAGAATTCCACCTAGGTACCTCCTAGAGGTTTACAATGCATTTATTCTGGATCTGGAAACCTACTAAAGTATCTGGAAGGTACTTCGAATATTCCATAAAGTGTTCCATTCTATACGCTTATTAAAACCTTCTAGTTTGCAACCCTTTCTAGCGGTAGGGGTTATTTCCCGAAAGTTATGTACCTATAGCTAATGATATAATTCGCAGGTGAAACGATTTTAGAACTTTTTGAAATCACGGCGACTAGGGAATTTAGAACACCAAACAGACGTACGGGGTCGCTCTCATTGTCCACAAAAAACTGGTCAACAAAGTCACCAGTTTCACTACAAAATCAGAACGAATTGACCTGCAGGGAAGAATATCAAAACGTCCTCCAGGTCGAGGCACCAACAGCGGACAAACACGATCCAGAAATTGACTCATTCTAGGAACAGCTATAAGAAACAGTAGCACGACATTACGGTCATCCTCGGTGAGTTTAACTTCAAAGTCGGTAAACATGGGGAATATGACTTGGGGACACGGAATGAACGAGATTTAAAAATGAACATATAACTTATTAACTTAAAATAAGATATACATGTTATCCAACTCAGTAATCGTGTTAGTAAATAAAAATGCCTTAGCTCTTTTCTTTGAGAGTAAGAGTTAAAAAAATAATTACAAAATTTTGGACCGAGAAACAAGAATGTTGAAAAAACGATTTAGTGACTTGAGGTAGATCCAGCAGTTTCTTAGAATATTGCCGAGTTTGGTTAATTCCAGTACCCAGATCAACTGTTGTGCCAAAGCCACTACTCATCTGATAGAATAGATCAAGAACTTTGAATACATATAAATAGCGAAGGGGAAGCACACGAAGAGAAAGAAATGAGGGAAAGGAAGAAAAATACCTGCTTTTACCGTAAATCAACATTATGTAACGTTTCTGCAGTGTTTGAATATATCTAAGATAGGAGATATATATATATATATAACGTACCACCCCAAAAGGGTATGCCATAAGATAATTTAGAGTGCACAAGCGCAAAATATACTTGCTTCAGTATTGCGACTCCACAAGCAGATTTTAAATGATAAAATGGCCTGAGTAAGATTAAAGTTGTTTTATTCTCTGTATATGAGATTTCCATGTTAATCAAGTTCAACGGCATTATTATTTGAGTATACAAAAGCAGTAGGTATCATCCGCAAAAGCTGTAAGTTTACCAGAGGGAAGGTCATTAACAAAGATCAAAAATAAGATCGGGCCCAGGACATAGTGCCATTTCTGTGTAACGACCTTTCCTAAAACCAAATTGCGCCCTATGTAGAAAATTAGTCATCGATAAGAAAGTTAAAAGTCGTTTTTTGACTATTTTCTGAAGAAGGATTTTAGAGATGGTGCTCAACAAGGAAATGGCGGGTCTGTAATTCTCAACGTTTGTGGGATTACTTGATTTAAATATTGGTATTACAGCCGCAGTTTTCAGTGCTCCTGGAAAGCCACCTTGTAGAATTACTTTTATTAAATAATTCTCAAATGAATAATCCATATGAATTGATCCCCATAAAAAAATTAAAAGCAGTAGCTATTAATACGGTGCTCAAACGGGCATCTAGCGGGAAAGTTGTGGGGTAGTTTTGATTTCTTTGATTCTACATATTTTTTGGCGTGGTGAATCCGAATTTGAGGTTTGCCAACAAAATTTCATGACGCAACATTGAAAAAAATACAAAAGAAGTTGAAAAAGATATTTTTTTGGCAGTTTTATGCTTATAACTTGAAAACTATCAACTTTTCGAAAATAACCTTCCTATTCAAAATGAAAGTACTTAACATTTCCTACAGACCCCACTATTTAGTTTTTTTCCTCGATGAACCGTTCGGGCTCGAGCGCCAGTTGAAAATTGGCGTATTTCGGCTGTATCCGCAAATACTCATCATTTATTATTATTTTATTATTATTCTGTGCAAATATAAATCCGTACTTTTCATTGTCTACCGGTCTCCTCAAAAGATTTTATAACTGTTCCGTCTGGTATAAAACTCTCCCACTCCTTCACAGATGAGCCAAGGCCCATTACGTCTCCGTGTACCTACGTTTGCAGTCTCGAGGCCCTCCTCCCATACACATACATACACAAGCGCACAAAGTTACATAGATGGACGGACGGACAGTCCAAAATCATGAATTCGCTTTTTGTCGCTGGTTAACATGTAAACAGAAAAGAAATAAATCGGGTTCAGTTGTTAGCAGACAAATTTAAGCTTGGGTAACCTGCGTTACCCCACTCCGAGGAGTAGGTACGTGATTCTTCAGAACACCGGAGCAAGAGGGATAATGCCGTTGAATAGGAAATCAATATACCCCTTTTGCCATTTGAATTTTTTGAATTAATAATGACCACAGCGCCACTTTCCCAAATTCAACAAATAATTATCCAAACATGCTACGGTAGGGTTTTGTGATTTCTTTATCTGGTTCGGAAGCGAGTGGGAATAATTTTAGATAGCACAGTATAAGTATTACACATATATTATTAATAATATGATATATTGTTGTTCGTTAGAAATTAACTTTTCATACAATTCTGGACTACAATAAACACCTTGAACGTTATGAAAATGAGAAAAAATCACCCTTACATATAAAATTCAAATAATAGTAGGATGCAAGGAATTCACTTATTGACAACGCTTAATATTAATTTAGGGTTTTACTGCGAAGAAACTATGTTTTGTGGAGACAGCCGAAATACGCCAATTTTCAAATTGGCGCTTGAGCCCGAACGGTTTATCGAGGAAAAAAACTAATAGTGTAATCTGTAGGAAATTTTATGTACTTTAATTTTGACCTGAATTTTGAATAGGAAGGTTATTTTCGAAAAGTTGGATAGTTTTCGAGTTGCAAGCACAAAACTGCCAAAAAATATCTTTTTCAACTTCTTTTGTATTTTTTTCAATGTTGCGTCATGAAATTTTGTTAGCAAACCTCAGATTCGGATTCAGCACCCCAAAAAACATATAGAATCAAAGAAATCAAAACTACCCCACAACTTTCCTGGTAAAAATACAATTTAACTGGATTATATATCATGTTGAAATAAGCGCCTACTATTTCCACTAGTTTTCAGGTAATATGGCAAACTGAAATTTATTCAATTATTAGGTACCTATTAGGACCTACATATAAGTAGTATGAAAACTGAAAGAGTTAGTTCCAAGGAAAAATTGACTTTTTTATCTTAGGGTGATGGAAATCCATGGTGAGACGCGGAAAATCGACACCCAGTATAGAGAAAATATGGCGTAGGTAGGGTACAGAAAAATTGAATTTCGGTACAGTTAATCAAATATGATTTAGTTCGAGGATCATTAGAATAAGTATTTACATATGTGATTCTAATTTCATGTATTGGCACTGAAGGGAGTATGAGTATTAGGTTATAGGAGTTCGTGGTGTCGTTCCTTGTTCTTGGCACAAGAGCTTTGTGATTTTTCAGTCTACACGTATCAAAGGAAAGGAGAAGTTTCCATAAATAGAATTAACCGATGTTATTAATTAGAACAAAACACGTTACACTTCTAATAATGGTCTTGTAGCAAGCGCCGAATGTAAGGGGGGGGAAAAGGCGGAGCGTTCTTTTAAAAGAGTCAAGGGGTGCGAATACGTCGTTTTAACCTTCCGCAAAACTGCTAAACGCTTAAATCGAGCTGTATGTTTTCAGCGATTTCTGTAGAACAAAGCCATTATATATTAAATTTGCGAATTACAAGGTATTTGGAGCTATAGTATGCTTATAAATCATGTAAAATAGGGTCTCGAGGCTCCGAAGTTAATACAGGGAGCCGCCAGCCGTGGAACGATGCGCTCGTTTGGACAACGCTAACGGAGCTCATCAATTAAAGATGTTACGGCTTCTCAAAAATACCCTGACGATAGAAAGAAGTATATTATCTTCACCATAGTCTTTATACAGGTGGTTTTCGTGCATAATTTTAAATTATGGCGTTATAAATAAATCTGGACGAATTTTGTTGGCCGAGCTTTTGTAATTTTACTACCTAATATTTGTGTATCTTCGAATTTTCCCCGGTGGCTTGTTCGGTTTTAGGAAGCAAGCGACTAACGACTAATTTTGGCTTTGGTATCCGGACATGTGAACCGGATTGGATCGGTTTGGAACAAGAGAGAGAAATTTCTAGTTTGGTTACGGGGGGATAACAAGTAAGTAGAAACAGAAGTAAAGGCATTGAAAACAAATTACACGGTCTTCAATTTGGCAGCGAGGGAGAACATTGGGGACCGCAGTGCAGCATATACAGCTAATTACGCAGTCACTTAGCGTTAATCGATTCGGTCGCCTTACGTTAACGGTTAACGACACACTAATGACCCAGCATTTACATAGCGTCCGGGGATTACAGTGGCTCGCGCGTGTAACTCATACCGATTTTATCTGGAATTATAAAACAGAACATTTTGCGCTCGCAAACAATAAAAACATACATACGTCACGTAGATTAGCGCCGTCACCGATAAATCAAACCGTCATTTCGCGAAGAGCAGATCCCCTTTCCGCCGCCGAATCCAGTAATGCATCGATACCGCAAAATAAAATTCCATATATGTGTCATATACCGTGATGGATTGGAAAGCCGACAGACAGCAATGGCGACCAGAAGTGGTTGGGGATGAGCACGAATCTGCTGCACCGAATGTCGCCGTTAAGGGGAAATTTATATACGATATATCAGTTAATTGAATTCGGTAAATATTACGGTTTGATGGTTGCACGGAAATTTCATTTTGGTTTTAATATTTATCAGGCGTATCCTCTATTACTGAAATGATACATGCCCCATTTTATGAGCCCCGTAATCAGTACACGATTATTACCAGATTTTTCGCCCAACTAAAGGCATCCCCTATCCGGTAGATCAAACGTTCACATGTCTATGTTAATGAAACATTAAGCGGGGCATCATCTCTTTTCATTTTAAAGCCCGAACGCTGTTCGTGCAGTCTAGATTCTGCTAACTTATTAATTCTCGAGAGAGCTTTTTATTTAGCATTTTTATTTAATCTGAGCGCAGTTTTATTATCATAAAACATTCCGCATTTTTGTAAATTAAATCCTTCCATCCTCCCGAGAGCATTGAAGGGGCCGACCGAGTACCGCGCACGATTTGATGCACGTAAATAAATAATAAGACGTGGGTTGCGACAGTTAAACCACGGATACAGTTTACTTCATTAACTGAAAGGGGACCTCAGAGAATACAACAAAAAATAATCTGGACAAAACATTGGCGGCGCTTCCCTCTATAGTAGCAGTTACGTTAAAGTAACAGCTAGAGTGGCTCTAATGAGCGCACTCGTAAAAACTCCATATACTTTTTAAGATCTTCATCTTAGTGGTCGGAATTAAAAATTAATTTTCTTCTTGTTATACGCCTAATTTAATTAAATTAGGAAGAGTGGGTGTCGAATTTGATATTAGTGCGGGAAAGATCTTAGTATGCGTCCATAATGTACCGTTAGAAGAGGGTGTGCCGCTGTATGAGCATAATCTCCTGACAAATTGAATTAGGGTGGCGGGCAGTGTCTGTAGGGGCGCCACTTGTTTATAACAAACAAATCCCTCGGCATTCGTCATGGAAAACTTGTGGATCTGATACTGAAACACGAAATGATTTGCAGAGCAGTAATCTAAGAGAATGGTAAATTGACAGAAAAATATATCCGCATTTTTCATAAGCCTCCATCTCGGATTTGCTTCGCCGCACATCCCCACAGTAAAGGTATCGTCGAGCAATTCGCGTAAGTCCATCGTGAAACAGAGGTTTTACTATTCTCGAAGAGCGAATAGAAGTCAATTGAAAACAAATGCACGCCGAGAGATACGGTGAGGTAGGAGCGTTATAGATTTTTTTTGGTAAATCAGGAATATTGCTAGTAAAAGAGAAATGAAATGCTTGTTTAAGAGTTTAGAAAACATTGCTACGCGTAGAGCGTCTTAACACTTAAAAACAAGATTGATGAGTTCAAAATGAATTCGCGTTTTGCGTCTCAGTTTCGTAACGAAGATCCATCTGTAGCTATAATTGGAGCTTAGCCAGATAATTGGAGTCGAGAAGATCCAATCATTTCAGGATGCTGTAAAAGCACCTCCGCATAGTCCGTAGAATATAGCACCTAGTGAAACCAGTGATACGATTCTTAATTCTCTATATTAGTATAAGCTGGGTACCGAGAGGGTGGGTTCAAATTCAATTAGAGCAAAGCGAGCGACATATTTCCGCAACCCTACTTTTTCTGCTTTAAACCACAATATTAGGCGTATTATTTTTTGTCAACACGCAGGCTTATATTCAAATCTCACTGGCTAGAGATTCAATAAAAATGCAAATGTAGGGAGTAACAAAAGGGAGCATTTACACTTGTCTATAGCGATCGTCAGTACCAAGTTAGACATTAGAATAGGTCGCTCAGTGTTTTCATTAATTCCGAACATATCGCTCCACACGCGTCGCCACCGAATTACTCACGAGGGATTTTCGATTTGGCCAGTTTTAACCCCACAATGTACTTAAAGTTAATCTGATTAATTTCAAACGAACTGATACGTTTGAAAATCATACAGACGGAGAGAGAAAGATCGCTCCATTCGTAACCCGACAAATATTTGTGACGTATTTTTATAATTGAAAAATTAACATATTTCCGGACGTAATCCTTTCGGTTTTAAACATCGGTCACAACGAATACAAAGTTTACCAACCTTCACTTGAGACTCCGTCATTCCCAAGGCGTATGCAAGTTTGGCACGTTCAGGACCGGCTAAATATTTCGTTTGTTCAAAGGTTTTTTCTAATGCAAATATTTGTTGACCGGAAAAGGTAGGTCGCGTGTGCTTTTTCTTTGCATCTTTATCTGGTCCTACTCCTCCCAGTCCTCCTTGATTCACTGCAAAAGAAACTTGTTATTAGTAACGAAGGAAATCTTAGTGCAACTATAAAAAAAGATACTTTGCGGAAACACTTTTATGTGGCCATGGTTAATACTTTCGGTACAAAAAGTATCTAAACTCAAGTTTGAAGCTTACTTAATAAACAGTAATAATAGTTTATTTGGTTTCAGAAAAAAAAAGAAAATAACTAATCCCAAAAACCAAACCACAAGGAAAGGTTCATTATAAACTGCTCTTCCACCCAACCCTTGAAATGCAAAACAAAATGATAATCAGCCAACTAAAATGTGTGAATACCAATTAACAAAATAAGGCTTTATAAGAACATATTTATACATAATGAAATTTAATTAATTGGCTACGCTACGCATACTTTATTGTTTACGTAAATTATTTAAGTAAATTATTATCTCACACAATTCCTGACAGGGCATGGACAATTCGGCACATATCTACATAGGTTTAAACTAAGATGTAATGAAAAATGTATGTACTGCGAAATGACAGACACGGTGGAACACACAATATTATACGGTGTACAAGATTTACAGAGGAGCGCAAGAAAACCAAAGGTATTATACATGCAAAAATAGGTATAGAGAACATCATAGAGATAATGCTGGAAGAAGAGAACAAATGGAACGCAATTAATAACGTGATAACACAAATATTAAAAACAAAAGAAAAAGATTTCAAACAGGAGAAAATAGTTAGATGGAGCATAACCAGAATAATCCACGTACTGAAGAAATGCCTTGGCGATACCGGTACAAATTGAACGGCGAAAAGAGAGGAGAGTTTTAGTGGGTATGCCTTGGAGACTCCCACACTACCACTCAGGTGTCCATAAAGGATTTCCCTACTCCCGTGTAGAAAAAAAAATTGTTTATGTAATAAAGGTTTTCGAAGCTTCGTACGAAGTATATTGAAAGTGGCAGATCTTTTAATGGTACATATGCTATACCGAGTGTTATGCCTAAATATTGTGGACTACGTAAGTAACCTTTCAAACAGCGCTGTTCTGTGATTTGGTGGTGTAATTAAATTTCTACCTGGTAAAACTATATTTTTTGCTATAAATATTTTGGGTTACTTTATGGTACAAACAGCCCATTTGCAGATACCTCATGTTGCTTATATTTAGCCAGTTAGCATCGGTTATAGATTGTGCGATATATGATTGAACTCTCGTCTCCTAAAAATTAATCGCAAGCATGACGCTTATTCCGGGTGATCCAAAATAACTGCAGACACGTTAAATTTGGCGCTTAAAGTTTTTAGTGTTTTTTTGCTTAAGGAATTAGCAAACATGTTCAAAAGGTAGTTTATTTATGCAGTAATCGCCATCCATTGGCGGCGTTTTTTTATTTTCTTGAACGATCCATTCGTTTTAAAGCAAACGGTTCTTTTAGAAGGTGGCTTTACCTGCATTCGTTTTTTAAAGGCACACGTTTAGAAGATGCCCATATTCGACTCGGTTGTGATTACTGCAAGTCAACGAAAAATGCTACCTACCATGTTAGTGGAAGTTGTCGAAGATGTAAAGGAGCAAATTATCTAAACAACCTGGTAGGTTAAACAATACGAGTGATAACATCTCTATTGTTATTAATACAGACTTATCACATAATACGTGGCACAAAATTTTGCATGAAGACATCGACGACGTTCATATATAATAATTATCATGACTGGGCAACATTAGAATAAATATCTAAATACATGAATCGTTACCTTTTTTTAATTTATTATCCACCACTGCTTTTAAATAAATGACATTTGGTATGTTACCAACTTTATAAATATTTAGTTTTGCGGGAAATTCAAACTGTCCGCAGTCATTTTAGATAACCAGGTATACAAACGATGAAGAACAATTAATTTGAGATTAAAATATGCGCTGTGTATGCTCTTCAGAATTTACTGCTTGTATCTAAAAGCGTTATCCAAGACTACTCCCGGCTTTCTTGCAGCACTAACGATCTTTGTTAACGATAATAGAAGGAATAGTTAAACTATTTGCCTCTCTTCCAAAAACAACAACTAGGGATTTAGGTGGATTTAAAAGTAAAGCCTGGCGAGTACAAACATCATATCATATGGCACTCAAATCTTTATGAGCGTCATGTCTCATGTCATCGATATGTATTCTACTTGACCTTAGGCATTTGGGAATATTACTAATGCAAATACAAAAGAGAAATGACCCGAGAACGGATTCTTGTGGTACACCTTGTTGATTGTAGAAACTACATACTCACTAAACTCCACTCGTCCAATCCCGCTTATCGATTTGAATTGATTCAGTAACAAATAAACGCCTGTTTAATTCTACTTCCTTAAGATACATACCTACAGGGCCGGATTAATGCCCTGAGAGGCTCTAAGCAATAAGAATTGTATGGGCACTTTTTATTTTCTTCACGTTGCATCGACTAATTATAACTGATATAAATCCATACAGTCATATAAACATATAAACGTATACATACATACAGGGTTGTAAAAACGGATACATTTAATCAAAATGAAATGGATGCGTGTTCGGAAATACGCTAGGCCCGACACTGTTTATAAAAAGTTTAATTTTCGGAAAAGTCGTAAGTGCGACGCCCGTATTTTGGTTATTGTTGGAGGCCAGCGTATGTTGAGTTGCCATTTCATAGGCGAGCAATGAGCATTTTACCGTACGTGAATCATTTCACAAGGACAAAGGCGCCGACTTTTGAAAATTCCAGGGGGGGGGGGGGGGGCACAACCGTTTCTACTTAAAACTTGACACAAAGATAATTTATATTTCTGTATTTTAAAAAATTATACCTAACTACGAGCAGTCCAAAAAAAGTGTAAAAATATACTCTCAATTCATCCTCAATCGAATAAACCCCTACAAGACAACGAAAATCAGAGGCTTGTACTCTACCTTTTTGTTGTTTTTACTTATTAAAGTATATGAAATTTCTAGGGGTAGCATTGCCCCCCCCCCCCCTAAATTGTTCCAGCAGTTGGCGCCTCTGCACATGGAATACATAAAGTAATATTTGCCAAAGTGTATAATTCACATAATCATTTAGAAATTAGCAACTTGCTAAAACTTACAATATGTAATATTAGTTTAATAAATTATTTATTTAAGATTTTGAACAAAAGTTTCTTTTTTCACGTTTTCCTCATTTTCTCATTATTTTTTGGCTGGTGTCTTAAGCACGTGCTGATTCTACTTATTCGGGCAAATATTCCTGATAAGCGACTTGATAAACAAGTGGACAACAAAAGTGCATTAATCCGGCCCTGGATACCTATAACAACAGTTTAAAAACGTGATTGTTGAACATTAACTTCTGAGCGCCAACTACTACTGTTTTTTTTTTTGATTTTCCGTACTGTTCACTTTAGAGTCTGATCAAAAGAAAACAATTCATTCGATTCGGATATTGTCCACAATAGCACCTCATAAATTGCAATTGCAGCGTTTTAAAGAAATGCAATCAGTTTTCAGTGAGGGTGTCCGAGGTTTGGGTTTATACTATTTTTGTCTACCTAACTTTACCTGGGTCTGGTTATAGGCCATCTTATTTTGCCTTTCCGGTGCATTTTTTAAAATCACCACTTTTTAGGGATAGCCTCACATTGTATTAGCGTGTGATTTTGAGTCATTACTAAGGTTCTTTCGTTTACAATCACAAATTTCAATCCGGTACGGATTATAAATGTTGCTTCATTCTTTTTAAAGTATTAAGGTTTCGTCTTTCGCAATCCCCACAGGTACAAAACGAAATTATTAAAGTACGTACACTTAAGTCATTAAATGAATCAAATCATTGGGGAACAAAATTTAATGATTATTTAAACTTCTTCCTCTTCCTGCCTCTTCTTTGTTTGCTCAACAACTTCCATCATTTCAGAGAGGGATGGGATACCCTTCACCGGCCCTTCGGTTTTCATTACAACGAATTGCAAGTGGTGAAAAGTGGGAGCCCGAACCCGAATGGCATTTTTAAAATGGCGCTGAATATGATAAGTTCTTAGACTGTCCAAGTTAAAGGTTTAGTTGCTGTTTTCATCTGCAGATCGTATTTTACTCTAACAGAAGTTCCTAACGAGTTATAAAACTCTAGCAAGTTATTCGACAGAAATTTCACCTTAAAGTCCGTCAAACTCTCTATTGTGCCATGTCTTTCGAAAATCTTCTTCAGAGAAGCTATTTCAGTACCCATGAAATTTTACACTTATCACATTCTGTCCTGTATGTATGTTAAACTTCACAATATTATGCACACAATTAAATTGAAAGTGTGGCTTTAACACCAGCTATGGGCGTGGTTCGTATTACTTTCCTTCATTTTTGCGGAAAAATGGGCTGCATCCAGTCCGAGGATGTAATGAGCCCCAGCCCCCGTAGCAAAAGTTACCTTCCGCTGCCAATTTTGTTACGCGGTTTAACGTCTCTTAAAGCTCTTATCGCGGTCTCTCTTTCTCGTGTCGCCAATAGAATCGCGAGCGTCCCCAAAAGTTCAGTACTATTTTGTGGGGAGAGTTTTTAGCGAAATCCACCAAAAGGGTGCATTTATATGACTGTACGTCAGAAGTGGGTACCAACAAAGGGAATGTGGTAGACTGCGACAAGATCTTATTGATGGTGGAATCAAAACTGACTAATAGAATACTGATCTGCCACACAAAAATGCGCTGAAGTCCCTTAGATCTCACACGAGAAAAGTTTTCAGAATAAATAAACCGCGTGTTTCACTACTTACTGAATGGCCCTCGTGCTAGGTATATGTAGATTAAAGGTGAAAAGATTCCATTTCAGAAAAATTCCTTTGACTTTATTTAGGTTAAGTTTTTGCACGTATCGTAACTTTAATCTTGTTTATTAAAGCAATATTTTATTGAATCTGCAATATTAATTACCTGCAGCTCTATTTTTTCTAACGCCGTTTACAATAAATTACTGTAGAAAAACTGAAAGTGTGTAATGAAATTAAGCTCCCAG